AGGTCAAGAGATCGAGACCATCCTGGTCAACACGGTGAGACCCCGTCTCTACTAAAAATACAAAAAATTAGCTGGGCATGGTGGTGCGTGCCTGTAATCCCACCTACTCAGGAGGCTGAGGCAGGAGAATTGCCTGAACTCAGGAGGCGGAGGTTGCGGTGAGCCGAGATTGCGCCATTGCACTCCAGCCTGGGTAACAAGAGCAAAAACTCCGTCTCAAAAAAAAAAAAAAGATTACTTTCAGATGGTAGGAAGTTAGAAAATAGTTAGAAAATCAAATTTTGGAATGTCTTCATAACAGAAAAGTATATAGCCATTGAAATCCTGATAATGTTTTCTTAATCTGAGAAAAGATCTCAAATATAAAATGTTCAGTGAAAAAAAAAATCCTGCGTTGAGAACAAGGCAACTTTAAAAGCAGAAGCGTATCTGGAGAATCATCGTAGTTTTGTTTAGGAAAATACTTGTGCTTGGTAAGAAGATGGACAGAAAGAAATTGAGATATTCCTGCTTGCCTGGAGACGACTAAATTTCCTCATTTTACCTCTTTTCACATTTCCCAAATCATTGATAGAAGAGAAAAAAAGGAACTTTCTCATCAAATAAGCCTGTCCGATTGTCCACAGTGTTTTCACCTCGGTATCTTCATTTGCAATTAGGTGTTGTTCTGAAGAGGCTAATTTGACTCTGATGCGGACATATTCATGGATACAGGGTCATTATTTACCCACCGCTGGTGTGCCCTAAGCTCTGTGCTTCCATTTTGCCATTTTAATGTGTACTTACAGTCAGTGGTAAACGTTTAAAACAACGTGACTTAGGTTTGGGGAGATTGGCCTTGGGATAATAGGACCGCAAGCCTCTGTTTTCGTAAACACCATGACTGCATTTCTGGGTTAGGGTGAAATTTCTGTCTGGTATGTTATCTCTGATGTGTGCAGAGATTGTTTCAGGTCTGGCAGTCACGGAGTGCTAAGAACGGTGTAAAAGAGGTTTCTGGCCGGGCGCGGTGGCTCACGCCTGTAATCCCAGCACTTTGGGAGGCCGAGGCGGGTGGAT